GTCCTTAGCGTCCAAGAACAGTTTCAAAGGTGAAATTAACTTAAGTTCCTGTTGCAGAATTGGATCTGGAACCCAGGACCCCACACTTGCTCTTTTGCTCCCAAAACTATACTTCCAATCCTGAAATCTGGATCCTGAACCAGTCTAGACTGTTGCCTTAGGCAGAGCCACAGAAGGAATCGTACTGGAGAATCGCAGCTCCCCCTTCTGGTCCCCTGTTGCATTGGCCTCACCAGTCTCTAAATTGTCTTCCAGCTGTAACTTCATGGCTAAAAAGAGGAGGGCAGATACCCACATATTCCTCAGCTACATGTGGTTTCAGGCGGCAATCAGTGACAAGAGTGGGCTAGACAGACACACTTGGTCAACTAAAGGGTCTTCTCCAGAATTAAATAGAGGGCTCAAGGGGGAGAGAGGAATGAAAAGCTTAATAGAAAAAAATCAATACTTAAATAAAAAAATCATTTTTATTTTCTGTGTATGAACATTTTACCTGCATGCCTGTATGTATGTATGTATGTATGTATGTATGTATACATATGTATGTTTATCTGTAAAATACATATATGTGTATATGTACGTACATGTGCAGATAATATGTACATATATACATACATACACACACATGTGTGTGTGTATGATGCATGCTGGTCCTGTAACCTGTAAGACCATTTGAGAGAAAGAAGCAGAAAAGTCAAGGGTTCAAAGGTATTCTTTGCTGCATATCTAATCTGAGGCCAACTTGTGATACATAAGACACACACACACAAAGGAAAAGAAAAGACAAGAATAATCACTAATGAGACAAAAATCACTCATTATCCCCACACAGCTGAGTCCAGTGGCAAATCTTTTCACTGTGAGGAAGTCAGTCATTCCACAAGGAAAGCAGTTCTGATTTAGACATTAAGATTAAAAACTCGGGGCTGGAGAGATGGCTCAGCGGTTAAGAGCACTGACAGTTCTTCCAAAGGTCCTGAGTTCAAATCCCAGCAACCACATGGTGGCTCACAACCATCCGTAATGAGATTGGATGCCCTCTTCTGGTGTGTCTGAAGACAGCTACAGTGTACTCATAAATAAAATAAGTAAATAAATCTTTGAAAAAAAAAAAAAAAGATTAAAAACTCGGCCGGGCGGTGGTGGCGCACACCTTTAATACCAGCACTTGGGAGGCAGAGGCAGGCGGATGTCTGAGTTCAAGAGTTGGAGGCTAGCCTGGTCTACGGAGTGAGTTCCAGGACAGCCAGGGCTACACAGAGAAACCCTGTCTCGAAAAAACCAAAAAAAAAAAAAAAAAAAAGATTAAAAACTCAATTAGCAGCAAAGATGCTTAATGTTTAACTCCCTTGGGAACACATCACCTCTTTATAGATGCTAGTGTGACTTCTTCCGAAGGCTTCTGCTTCTGGATTTATGAGGATATTAGATTTCTTCTGCTGCATGTATATTATCGGCATACTTTCCCGGTAACCTTTCTAGTGTTAGCCGCTTATGAGAAGGCCCACCTTTCTGCTGAGCACCAGAAGGCTATATTTCCACTGAGTGTCCGGAAGCCTTTCTTCTCTTGTCACTATTGATCTTAGAGTAGTCCCTGTATGTTCCCTTGTGGGAACAATCTACTCTTTTATTTAAAGGGCTAGAGATGGGGCTGGAGAGATGGCTCAGCGGTTAAGAGCACCGACTGCTCTTCTAGAGGTCGTGAGTTCAAGTCCCAGCAACCACATAGTGGCTCACAACCATCTGTAATGGGATCTGATGCCCTCGTATGGGTGTCTGAAGACAGCTACAGTATACTTGGGGATGGAGCAAGAGGGAGAAGGGAAGAAAAAATAAAAAGAAGGAAAAAAAATGGCTGGAGAACTGACTGAGGCCCCAACTCTCAAACACTGTGCTATGTTGCATGTTGTGATGGTTATTCCTGGTTGTCATCTTGATCACAGCTGGAATGAATCACAGTCCAGAAGTGGAGGATACATTACCTGAATTTTGAAGTAGGAAGTCACAAACCTTTGATCCAGATTTTTTAAAAAAAGATTTATTTTATGTATATGGATACTCTGTCTGCATGTCCACCTATGTATCAGAAGAGCTTATCAGACTCCATTACAGATGGTTGCAAGCCATCATATGGTCCTTGGGAGTTGAACTCAGGACCTCTAAAGGAGCAGCCAGCGCTCTTAACCACAGAGCCACCCCTCCAGCCCTGATATATATACATTTATACATATATATTTAACAGTCCGTAGATCAGTGTCATTTAATCCTCCTGGCTTGGCTTTTTTTTTTTTTTCTTGCTTGCTTTGGCTATAAAAGTAGAGAGATTACTGTCCTGCTCTTCTTGTTTTGTTAGGGTTCAGGAGTCACCCCACAAACCACACAAACACCAAGCTCAGCCAGACAAGGGTGGTTGGTTGAATGCACACCCTAGGACTGATCAATCAGGGACACAGCTCAGATGTCGGAGCTGGGAGCTGCAATCACAGACATTGTCCAGGATCAGTTTATATAGGGAGGAAACCCTAGTGAGCTCATGAGCAGATACAGAGGAGGCTGCAGTGTGGTTGGCATAATTCCAAGTTTCTCTAGTAATTTAGACATAACAGTTCAACCTGACTTCTATCTTGTTTGGCCCTGAGAGAAGGCTACGGCTGGGAAACTTCCAAGAATAGTCTTCAAAACATGGTAACAAACCTTGGAGCATAACAGGATGTATAGTCAACTCGACCTCATTCTGAGCCAAACTGCATTTCTGTACTTATAACCAAGCTGCATTTTGTGTCAGCAATATGGTATGCCTGGCAGGCCTGAAGCACAATGGCTATGCCAGGAAGGTAGGGTAGGGATGCTGCCTTCATCAGTGGGTTTTTGTTGTTGTTCTTATTTATTTAAACTTTTTTGCTTGTTTATTCTGTTATTTTGAGACAGGCTTTCCCTAGGTAGCCTTGGCTGTCCTAGAACTCGCTCTGTAGACTGGGATGCCCTCAAACTCAGAGATCTGCCTGCCCTCTTCAACCCAAGTGCTTGGATTAATGGCCTGTACCACCATGCCCCAGGTTTTAAAACATTTATTTATTTATTTATTTATTTATTTATTTATTTATTTATTTTGGTTTTATGAGACAGGGTTTCTCTGTGTAGCCCTGGCTGTCCTGGAACTCACTCTGTAGACCAGGCTGGCCTCGAACTCAGAAATCCACCTGCTTCTGCCTCCCAAGTGCTGGGATTAAAAGCGTGCGTCACCAACACCCAGCTTAAAACATTTTTTTAATGGTTTATTTATTCCTATTTTAAGTGTGTTGGTGTTTTGCCTGCATGTATGTATCTATGAGGGTGTCAGATCCCCTGGAACTGGAATTACAGACAGTTGGGAGCTATCATGTTGTGGCTGAGAATTGGAACTTGGGTCTCTGAAAGACAGCCAGTGGTCTTAACATGAGACATTTCATCAGCCCCATCATAATTTTATTATTTTGTTTTGTTCTTCAAGATAGGGTTTCTCTTGTATAGTTCTGGTTATTATGGAACTCACTCTGTAGACCAGGGTGGCCTTGAACTTGAAAAGATTCACCTCCCTCTGCCTCTTGAGTGCTGGGATTAAAGGCGTGCACCATCACTGCCCAGCCTAGATCCTCATCTTGAAGTAGGAAGTTACAAATTCTATCTGAGCCACACTTCCTGCTGCAAGCCTATAAAAGGACAGGCAAGAAGGAAACTTTTGCTTCTTGCCTGCTTGTCCCCTTGCCTTACCAGCACATACACCCATTCCTTTACTGGCCTTACAACCTCCATCTTGGGCAGTTCAGCATACGCAGAGGATCAGTGGAGATATCCAGCCTTGTTTAGTCTATAAGCAACTACTGGAGTTTTGGACTTTCTGTTCACAGCCAGTCACTTTGGATTGCCTGGCTATTAATGTTTCTTTATTTTGAGACAGGGTTTTTCTGAGTAGCCCTGGCTGTCCTGGAACCACTCTGTAGACCAGACTGGACTCAAGTCTTGAGATCTACTTGCCTCTGCCCCGCTGCATGCTGGGATTAAAGTCAGGCACCAGCTCCCAGCTGCAACTAAGCTTTTCTGATAGGCAGGGAGGGATCCATCGTCCTCTCACCCACAGAACCACAATGTAAGGAAAGTTCTGGAATAAGGAAGTCTTTCTTTGTATATCTGAAAGCAAAGTGTGGGGGCACACTCCTCTAATTTCAGCACTGAAAAGGCAGAGGCAGGATTCCCAGGTTCCAGGAGGTCAACTTGGTCTATATAGTGAGCTTAGACCAGTATGTCTCCTCCAAGATCAATGAAGCCTACTGGGCACAAAGGTGGACCCTCTTAATCCTTACACTGAGGGGCTCCAAGTCAGGGAGAGCCAGTCAGTGTTTGCAGCCCACAGTCAGGACTAACAGATGAAGTGTGTGGTGAGAACAGGTGCATCAGATGGTTTTATAGGAACAAGGGCTGGAGACAAAAGGCAAACCAACCCAAAGGCAGCAATTCCTCGCTGGGAGAGATCGCAGTACACCAGAGGCTGACTGGGAGTGAGCGGCCTGTGCATCTCTGGGAGAGCGGTGGGCACACAGATCTGTGTGAAAGCTTGGGATGAACTTCAGAGAGACTTGGAGAGATATCAAAAAACAAACAAACAAACAAACAAACAACCCCAGGAGAACCAAAAGCAACATGGAAAAGCCTTCTCAGCTAACCCATGTAAGAAGTACTGCTCATCTTGACCGGCGGTTTGTCTCAAACTTGCTATCTAACAGAGGGTCACCTTTACTTATGTTCCTGGCTCTGCCCCAGGAATGCTTGGATTACAAATATGCTTTACAACCTAGTTTGTGCAGTGCTGGGGGCATTAAAGTTGAACCCAAGGCTCTGAGCCCATCAAAGGATACTAACTGAGCTATGTTCCTAGCCCCACATCTGGAATTTAAAGGCTTTTTTTTTTAAAGCCCAATGAGAAAGAATAAGAGGGGAATAAAACAAGCTTGTGACATGATACATACATTCAGAAGTTCTTTTATTTCAAAACAGAAACTACAGTAACATTAATAGAAAGTATATATGAAGATATTCACAAGCTGGCCATTGGCAAATGTAAAAACTCCACCCAGCATTACTGCCAACCAGAAGAGGTTAAGTTAGAGGAGTCACCTTTCCCAGCAAAGCCCCTTTCTTTCCATAGCAATGTGAGTTTTTAAAGCCAAACTCTCAATGGCCACAGGGAGTGGCGAGTGAGCACTAAAACTGAGTACTGAGATACTGCTCTACATAAGGGTTTGCCTAAAGGGTCTGAAATGTGTAAGCACCGAGGAAGGATAGTGGGATCCAGTGACCTATGGAAAAGGGGCAAGGGCCATCAGGGTTGTTTCCATTTATGGAAGTGGAGGAGGGGACAGTTGGGAAGGTGTCTGTGACCTATGGCAGGAGGGAATCTTGGCAATGCTCTCAACATACCAAAACCTCACACCTTTCCACTGTGCCTCCTAGCTGGAGTGAGCCTTCCATCCTCAGACTTCAAGGAAGCACCCCTCTCCAACAGGGACAGGGAACCCAATGAGTGGCTTCTGATCCTGGGTGCAAATGCCACCCAGCAGAGGCAGTGTGGCTTCTGTACACAGGGGTGAGTTCCAGTAGTCAATCAAAAAATAAAGCTACAGGGGCGAGGGACCAGGGACTTTCACGCCCAGAGCAAAGTGACAGTGCACGGACATTCATGTCCCCAAGTGTGGACCACACTGCACACTCACACACATTGTCTCTTGTATGTGTAGTGGAGTCAAGGCCCCTTGGGTATGTAGCACAATATAGCACAGAACTCGGAAACAAGGGCAGTCTGAGACTGTAACAGACATAGGCTGGCATGCCAGGACTCCAGAGCAACAACGTACTCACTCAAATCAGGTAATTAATAGTCAAATCAGCAAAAATTCTCTCCCAGAGCTGAAGTAACAAAATCCAAGTTAGCTACGAATCCCTTTAAACCAAAACAAATCAACACATAAAATCTCTTAAAAAACCAAGTTGAAAAAAAAAATAATGCCTCTCAAGAACTACTATCTTTGTGTCTCTCATCCTTATGGCTTACTCGCTGGTGACCAACAGAAAAGAGAAGGCAAGTTCACAGGACAGAGAGGGTGTTTTGGTCCAGGGAAAGGAGAGGCTTGCAGCGAGCCCTCCCTTTTCTGGACTTCATGTAACACAAAAATCCATCACTACCACTAACTACAAAGCCCACTTTAGTAACAAGCCTAGATTTTAGTAACACTACCTAAAAACTATAATCTTAAAAGCAAAGGCCCACAGAAAGCCAGGGTCTTTTAGTACAGGCACTCGTTCTTCTGAGAAATAACAAGGGATAGTCTCCCTCCAGCTACAAAGGTAGCTCACAGGCCACCAGTAACATCCATCCTCCTCCTTGTTGTACCCTCTCTCTCCAGCACCAAACTTTTCCTCCAGAATCTCTCTTTAAACACCTCCCTCCAACCTCAATTTCGTTACTGTCTCATTATTTGGTAAAATTACACTTAAAAAAATAAGTATTTATGCAATTCAACCTGAAGATAAAATAAATAAAAGTCAAGTTACTTTGCTGTGCAGAGCTGTATCAAGTGAGGAGAGCTCTCTTGTTCAATCCCCAGGGCCCTCCACACTGGGTATGAAGATCTTTTTCCTGGTAAGCTAAGGTGGTGGTGGGGGCGGGGCTGTACCCCACTCCTACTCCCTAGTTGTCCTAGTGAGCGGGTTTTAGAACCTAAGGGGAGCTGCGGCCCCTTCCCTCCCGATATGAAGGTAGGCTTAATTGGTCTTTCCTGATTACAAGAGAAGTTTTAAGTATCCCCCAAATCAAACACTTAAAAGCCATTGGCAATCCGACCAACCCCAGCATTGGGTGCAGCTGAGTTTCATGGAGTGTGTAGGGTGAGAGTAGCAGCACTCAGAAGCAGTCCTGGTTCATCTTGATGAGGTCTCCCCACTTCAGGGGAGGTTGCTGTCCACAGTGGAGGGAGGTGAAGGAGGAGGTCCGGCTCAGGCATTGCCAGGGGTCTCCTTGACAGGCTGCATGCTGTTCAACTCCACACCAGCAGGGGCTTTCCCAGACTGCGCCTGCCCCTCGAAGGCCCGGGCAATTTCCTCGAAAGTTCTGCCTTTGGTCTCCGGGACTTTGAAGAAGGTGAAGATTAGGAAGAAAACGAGGAAGGCAGCGAAGATGATAAAAACGTAGGCTCCCAAGTAGGCCTAGGAGACAGGAGAAAGAAGGCTGCTCATTGGTAGTTGACTGTTTCATACAAATGTACCAATTTAAGTGTTCATAAACGTGAGTGGAGCCTCGCATTTCTCTCTCACTGGCCTACACTTCTTCCACACTGAGCAGCACCCTTGATCAGTTCACTTACGATGTCACTATGTATCTCTGCAAGTCATATGTCATCCTTTTTTCTAGTCACCAAAACTAGCTGCTTTCAAATACTTCCTGTGGATTTCTGTTTGGCTTTGTTTCTGGTTTTTGAGACAGGGCCTCACTTTTTAGTTCTGGCTGTCCTGGAACTCACTATGAGACTAGACTGCCCTTGAACTCAAGAGATCCATCTGCCTCTGTTTCCTGAGTGCTGTGATTAAAGACAAAGGCAGGGGCTGGAGAGATGTCTCAGTGGTTAAGATAACGGGCTTGCTCTTCCAGAGGATTCAGGCTGTTATTCCCTGCATCCATAAGGCAGCTCATCCATAATGGCCTGTAACCCAGGCACAAAAGTACAGACATACACAAGCAAAACACCCTCAAACAAAAAATAAACATTAAAAAAAAATATGTGTCACCACTTCTGGTCCTTCCGGAGATTTGATATTAAGACACATGATCCACAATGTTTAAAATACATACGTGTTAGAAAGACTCGTGGAAATAGGAAATGGTTTATATAACAAATCAGTTTCAGGTCATTTTCTAACAGGAAATCCTAAAGACTACCTAGCATTTAGGAGCACTCAGAAGCACTCGGTTCTCAGTGCTGACTTAAATGATGACTTCAATATTGGTCTGAAAAGTTTGGGTAGTTGGTACTGTCCTGTTCCTACACTGTATCAGGTCCAGTTTTCCTCCAAATTTTTTGTTGTTTTGATACAGGGTCTCAATTGTAGCCCAGGCTGGCCCCAACCTTATAACCAACCCTCCCTCTTACCACAGCATCCCAAGGGCTGGGATTGTAGCCTTGAGCTCTGTGACTGGCTCATCCTTCCCCTCTCCCGTTTTCTTGAGAATGAAGTAGCAAGTCTGATTTAGGGTGCTCAACACAATGACTTCCCCTGGAGCTTGCCCACTACTAAGGTGAATCTTAAGTGTGTTGGAATAAGTCGGCTGGTTTGTGAGAGAGCGTGTTTAACTTTAGATTTACTTACTGCAGCCGAGGGGAAGAACATTCCAACCAAAAAGTTGGAGGTCCAGTTAGAACAGCCAGCCACTGCAACGGCAGCTGGGCGGGGCCCCTGGCTGAAGAGTTCAGCCACAATAAACCAGGGAATGGGGCCAGGTCCAATCTCAAAGAAAGCCACGTAGACCAAGATAGCCACAATACAGACAAAGCTCATGGCTTCATAGTCATCCTGCAAGAGAAAGCAAGCAAGCAAAGTCCGTTTAAATGCAGCATGACATAGCGTTCATTTTCAGAGCTGTTATCTAAAGCGGTCACTCAGTTTGTGAGTAAAAACCCTAGCGGGTCTGAATCCAAGCTATAGGACTCTGTACCAAGACCATGTGAATCTCTGTAAAATGGAACTACCTCAAAGTGATTTCTGTTACTGCCAAAGCCTGGCTTCCCAGATGACTTAGGAATTAAATTACATATGGCTTGCAAGACGGCTCAGCAGATAGAGGTGCTGACCACCAAGTCTGAGGACGCTGCTCCAGGCTCCCCCAACCCACAGGGCACAGAGCAGCTGGAAGATTAGGAACTCAAGGCCATCCTAGGCTACCTAAGTTCTTACCTCAGAACTGAATGCATTGAAGTCTACTTTCAATAAAACTTTTGGAAGTCTCAAATTTGACTTTATTGATGACCTTGAAGGTCAATACCCCAGCCCCTGCCACAGAGAGTAAACTGTAGCCTCACCAACCCTGCCCTTCCTCCACTCAAAGACAACTCACCTTTAGCAACAAAGAAATCGTCATGAAAACGGAACAAACAGCCATGCCGCCCAGGCCTATCATGTGCAGCGTTCTCCTCCCTGCCTTCTCCACCAGAAACAGCTAGAAGGCAAGACATTTCTGATTCTGTGAACACGCAGTATACAGGATGCTACTGCCTTACTCCCGCCCCCTTCTCCAGGCACACCTAATCTGTTCACACTTTCCCTTTCCCATCCATTCCATATTTGCTGGGTGAGTGAAGATTACTTACACCCATCAGCCAATACAATTTTTCCCAGGGGAAAGCAAGAAAATGGTTTCAACTAGATGAGAGAAGTTGAAAGACGGGCAGCCTAGGCTCGAACACTTGAAGAATTCCTGTTTCTCTCATCCCCATCCCCCATCCAAACTATCCCAACGTACAGAAACTACAGTGAAGATAGTGTTAACCACACCCGCTCCGATCGTGGCATAGATCGGCTCCTGGACACCCGCATCCTTGAAGATTCCTGTTGAGTAATAGAACACCTAGAAGGGAACACAAGAGCATCACTGACTAAACCCCAGAAGGAAACGGAAGCCGCGTTGCTGACTGTACCCCCGGAACACTGGAGTTCTTGGCCAGCACATGACTTCTGCACTCGCTACCTCCCATTGTTCTGCTGTTTTCTCCTAAGGTCAGACCTACACTTTAGTTGACTGTCTTCTTTTTTAGGGGTGGGATAGGGTAGGAGTAGGGGTTACAAATGTTACTCTGTAGCCTCTGCCTCTCCAGTGCAGGGATTACAAGGTGTCACCAAGCCTACCTGGTTCCATCACTTTTCTTACGTCTACTTTGCTAATTATTTAAGTCTTTGTCTTTCTCTCTCTTTTGTTTCACTACCTAGCACAAGATGGCCTTTGTCTCCTAATCTTCCTGTCTCACCCTCCCTAGTTAAGATTACTGATGTGTGTTACCACTGGCACCTTTGCCTTTAGGTCCTTTTAAAAATTATTATGCATGGCACGGTGGCACCAGCCTTTAAACCCAACACCCAGGAGGCAGAAGCAAGAGAATCTGTGAGTTCAAGCCAGACTGGTCTATAGAGTGAGACTCCATCTCAAACACCAGCACAAAAGAGAGGAAAACCCACTATACACTGACTGACAAACCCTGAGTGCCGGCAACGCAGGCTCAGTATCAGAGCACATACGCAACACCCACAACGCAGGCCTGACTTTAACCCCTAACTCTGTGAGACAAGAAGCTAAACGAGAGACACATCCCATCTCACAATTGGTGAAGTGATTTCTAAGCATACTGGACACTGGGTTTCCCTTTTTGTTGTTGTTGCTTTTGAGACAAGGCTTCTCTCTATATAGTCCTGGTTTTCCTAGTCCTCACTCTGTAGAGCTTCCAGGTGCTGGGATTAAAGGTGTGAGTCACCATGCCCAGCTGGCTTTACTCTTTAAGAAATAAGTCCAGGCCTCTTACATAAGAGACTCAGGAAAATATTGCCCTGCAGGTTTGGAGTAGAGTATACTCAGGCCAAACCCTGCTCATTGAGTAAAGTGAGAGTTAGTCCAGTAACGAATTCAGTGAGGCGGGACAGGGGCAGCTTGCACTGTGCACCTCAGTTGGTGGTGGTGTTTTGGGTCCTGTTTTGCAGGACTGGGGTGAGGCAGCCAGGAGCTGTGTTTGGTGCCGTAACAGGTAAGTGCACATTCCCCAGGCTATGTGCAAGCATGCTTTTCACACCCATCGCAGCCCTGCGGTTCCGTCTGTGCTCAGCATTACTCTTTTTACTCTAGTAATATATGACTGTACCATCATTTCAAATCAGGAAATCTGAGTGGGATCTGTCACAATTCCTAGGGAGAGAGCAGGTAATGAGGAGTCCTGTAGGAAGCCTTTCAAACTAACAGATTCAGCCCCCCCCCCTTCCTTGGAGAGGATCTCATGTAGCCAAGGCTAGTCCTCAACTCAATATATATTTGAGTGATCTAGAACTCCTCAACTTCCTGCCCCCGCCCTCATGAGCACTGGGATTGCAGCCATGGGGCCCCACCACACCAGATTTACAATGTGCCAAGGATCAAACCAAAGGGCTTCATGCACGCCAGGAAAGTACCCTGCCAACTTATCTACACCAGTGTTTTTTTCAGCCCTGGCTGGTCTCAAACTTGGGTAATCTTCCTGTCTTGAGCTCTGAAATTACAGACATGGCTTTTTCTATTGTCATGGAGTTCTTGCTATTACTGTTGCTATTACTGTATTACTCCTGCCACTGACCTCACATTCCTGGGCACTAATTAATGACCCTCCTGTTCCAGCTTCTGGAGTCACTACATTCTACAGACACATGCCAACCTGCCAACAAGATCGAGCAATTTCAGGAGAGTACTGTGGGGCGCCTCCGGGCCAGGCCTATGGCGGATACTCACAGCATTGATCCCGGAAAACTGCTGAGACAGCTGGAGGACAATGGAGATGAGAAGGGGCTGGATGTAGTTAGGTGACCTGAAGAGCTCTAGCACAGTGACTTGCTTCTCCTGTGACATCTTGACACTCTCCTCTTTCATCTCCTGGATCTCATGGACCACATCCTGGGTGCCCCACAACCGCTGGAGGACTGGGGAAAAGAGGCAGAAAGAATAAAGATACTGTGTGTGTACCTCAACCCCTGCCACACCACACATTCCTCTCAGTCAGCAGGCACCTAGAGCATCCATCTTTATTTCTCTTCCTACTTCAGTCTCAGCTTCTGACTCAGACATCTGTGTCAGAACATGGTCAAAAGAATGACCATGGTCAACAATGCCTTGGGGAACTGTGAGAGAGGCTGAGGGAGTGAGGGTGGGGAGGCAGAGGGCCTTTTATCTCAAATGGATTTTATTCCCTAGATTGTTCCTGGATGTGATTCCATGCCTCCAGCGCAAACATTTACATTCAATGTATAAGACATGCCTATTCTTGCTGGAACGTCAGAACAGAGCTACAGAACCCAATCTGGTCAGTGTGCCCTGGATCTGGACACAGCCTCCTGCCTGGCTTTCTTGCTTTCCCAGATACAGTCTATAGTAGTAAACAGTTGTGTTTAAACTGGTCTGTCCTGAGAAAGATCAGGGAAAGTGTTGCTCTGTTAATATTTAGTATGTGCTTCCTGGTGTTTATTTACACATTTGTCTGAACTCAAATGACTTTCCCTAGATCACTGCTTTCTTTGTCACATCCGTGAAAATAAGGTTGTCCATAGCACCAGACTATAGTCCACCCATTCTTTCAGGTCCTCAGATCCCAGGTCTCCCAGACACAGATCTACTCAGTTCAGCAAAAGTCCACAATCAGAAAACTCTTCATGCACATGGAGATCCAGGAAAGGGAGGTGACAAAAAACCGCACCCAATGCCCTCACCCTTAACCATGCACAAAACCAAGCTTCCGAAGCGACACACATAAGCAGCACTTACTCTCCGTAGCTTGGTCTTCCTCCTTTCTGTTAATGAGCAAGAATCTCGGACTCTCAGGGCAGAATGGAAGGGCTGCACTTTGTAGGAGAGCCGGGATGACGGTTAAGCCCAGTAGCCCAGGCCATAGTTCTTCAGAGCCCAGGATAAAGTCCAAACCAAAGACCTTGAATCCAGACAAAGAGAATGTTTAACCCCAATTATACTTCTATGCCATAAATGCACTATTAAAAAAAATCACTTATTCTTTTACCATAAATAGGAAAGAGAAAATTAATTGTTTCTATTCCTTCCTGGGCCCTGCCTGCATTATTAGGTGTGGCATGAACTACAGTAATATCTGAAACATATACATATAAATACACAACTGAACACATGCCAGATCTAGATAGAGCTCTTCACATGTCAGTTCATTCATGGAGCACAGAGCTAGTGCCCATTAAATATGTAAAGCTGGCCGGGCGGTGGTGGCGCACACCTTTAATCCCAGCACTTGGGAGGCAGAGGCAGGCGGATTTCTGAGTTCAAGGCCAGCCTGGTCTACAGAGTGAGTTCCAGGACAGCCAGGGCTACACAGAGAAACCCTGTCTCGAAAAACAAAAACAAACAAACAAACAAAATATGTAAAACTGTAAGGTACCTGAGCCACCAGAATCCCAATAACGATGCCCAGCTGGTTCAGCGTGCCAAATGCGCCCCGAAGGGCAGTGGGAGACACCTCGCCAATGTACATAGGCACAAAGCCCGTGCAGAGCCCACAGAAGATGCCAATAAGCAAGCGGCCCAGGATCAGCATTTCAACAGACTCCGCTATCTTGGCAAATCCCATAAGGCAGCCCGCAACGATGGCCAGCAAGTTGACTATAAGCATAGAGTTGCGTCTGTAAGGTTAAAGACAAAAGTGGTTAGTAACAAAAGACATTCCCCGTCTGTCTTTCCTCATCCTTCTGCTCTTTTGAAGCGTCCGTAGATTTAAATTTCTTTCCCCTTTGTTGCTGTGGGCTTGTGAATTTGAGGGAACCTCCTCTCTGCTGTGCTATACCTCAGGGCTTTTTATTCTAAAAAAAAGAAAAAAAAAAAGTACTGTGTTTGTGTATATGTGTGTCCAGGTGCCAGTATGCCGCAGAGCACCTGTGGAGCTCAGAGGACAGCTTTGTGGCTGACTGGAGTTGGTTCTCTCTTTTCACCCTTATGTGGATTCACCTCAGGTCATCTTCTTGACACAAGCTTCTCTGTACTGAGCTACCAGGCCAGCTCTATTTTATCACATTTCATTATAGAATTCAAGTTGCAAAGATGGTAGGATATTTAGGACCAAAAAAAAATTTTCTTTTCTATTTTCCTGAATCCTCAAAAGGTAGGCCACATCAGCTCCATGTCAAGTAGTTAAAGGGCTAATTAGTACTGAAAACTGGGGTGACTAATGCTTTACAAGCTAAGCTGGCAACAAAGTCACTGACACAGCTAAGAGTCAAAAAAAAAAAAAAAAAAGACTAGCGGCTTCAGTGGCTGAGGGGCCTTGGGATTCTGGCCATTAAAGAAAAGGTCCCAGTATGCAGCAGCCCAAAACTCAGATCCACCTGCTCGGCTTCCTGAGCACTGTGAGATCCTTTGAACAAATAGACCAATAAATTATAAAGGGAGTTGGGGAAAATGTTGATACATGGTTCCCATCCCTAGAGGCCCACTTAACTGGCTTATAGTATGACACATCCCTGGGATTCCTCAAAGTCCCCTGAGGGAATCCTAAGTGTGCAGCCAAGGTGCAGAAATACCATTAAGAGGGGTAAAAAATAATTTAAAAAAAGTTACGAATTTACCAGCCTGAGTAGTCATAGACCTTGTAAATAGGTAGCCTTGGCAGATAGTACCAACTTAGATAAAGACAAGTGAATCATAGACAGTGTCATAGTGACCTGTCCCCTGAACCTTCACCTAGCCGATACCATGTCCTGAAAGATATCTGTATCCCCCTTAACACCCACGCTCCGGTGTCATCCCCTTCCCCATGTCCTGGCTTTTTGTGTTTATAACCCCTGTGCGAATAAGTAAAAATTATGGATTTAAAAAAAAAAAAAAAGCCGGGTGGTGGTGGTGCACACCTTTAATCCCAGCACTTGGGAGGCAGAGGCAGGTGGATTTCTGAGTTCGAGAGTTCGAGGCTAGCCTGGTCTACAGAGTGGTTCCAGGACAGCCAGGGCTACACAGAGAAACCCTGTCTCGAAAAACCAAACCAAAAAAAAAGTTACGACAGACTGTGGTCCCAGCACACGGGAGGCAGAGGCAGACTGATCTCTGAGTTCAAGGCCAGCCTGGTCTAAGGACAGCCATGGCTACACAGAGAAACCTTGTCTCAAAAAAGGAAAACAAAACCCCCCAAAACCCCTCTTCCTCCACTTTCTTCCCCATGCTGAATCTCTGGAGTGGTAGGACTGTGCATTTGTGCTGCCATGCCCAGCTGAGTATTTTATTTGATTCCTTTACCAGTCATTTCTGAAAGTATATGATCCTTAAGACATTTTATTATTTCAATAAATTTATCTTTGGAGAGGGAAATCAAGTTACTTAGCCACCGTTCACATTTTCCACATGACAAGGATTACAAAAAGTATTTATTTTATAAAATAATGAAAAGACTTCCAAGAAACCCCCCAAAATATTCAGAAGTGAAAATAACTTCTGGCTGGGTGTCATGGCATCCAGGAAACAGAGGCAGGTGGCTGGACCTCTTGACTTTGACAGAGGCCAGCCTGGTCTACACAGTTAGCCAGTGATTGCCTCAGAGTTGGGGAAAGAAGCAACCTTTGACCTTAAAAGAAGTTTAAGGAACTCCATAGTTGACACCACTCAAACAAAATTAAATTAGCCTAGAAACTAAATAAAATGGGAACTTCAGAGACCAAGGTCTCACTCAGCAGATCACTAGGCCAAGTGGACTAGCTTTCCCCGAGTATAAATCAATACACTGTCACACAGCACTATCCCTGACCCAATGTGTTCTGCTGTCTTCTGTGTAACCAGTACGAGCAGATTCCTTGCCCAGTGTCTAATCATTACCTGCCAAAGCGGTTGACAAACAGTCCAACAGAAAAAGAGCCAATCATGCCACCAACAGAGAAGATGGCCACACATAAGGACCAGAGGGTTGTCAGCAGCCCCTCGGATGGTAGGGTTTCTAGTCGCTCTTCCAAAGTGTAGTTAAGAAAGTCCCTTAGGATCTGCATGAAAAAAATGCACACTGTGAGGACAGATCATTAAATCTAGATAATAGTAGACAAATACTCAGGTGGCTTCTTAGAGGAACAGGAGGAAGGAAAGGCACACGGTTTGAAAAAGGCATCACCCTAAACATCCAGTAGGTGGCAGAAAAGATGTTCAAAGCAGCACCCCACCCAGTCACGACTTCCCATGTTCTTACTAATCCCTAAGGAATAATATAGGAAATGGATCACAACTCGGTGAGAGGGCAGAGCTTGAGGAGCAAATAGCCTGCTTTAGCTTCTTCTACAGTATACCACTCCTCCCCCATCTTAGCCAGGAATCTTAAATTCGCAGTCCTACTTAAAAACACGTTTGCTGTTTCTTTTCATTTAGGTACTTCTCCGACACTCACTATCTCAGGTGCATTGATGACTCCGGTATTGTAGCCAAACTGGAAAGAGCCGATGGCGGCAACAGACACAGAGAACACCAGAGACGGGGTCACCTGGAGAGAAGACAAGGGGAAATGCTTACAGACGTTGACTAATGACATCCTTGCCCTTCCCAGTGATGCCTGGTTGGCGTTCATCCTAAGGTGTTCTTCTGCCTTTGCTTAGACTGCCAGGATTTCAGGTGCATTTGGAAAGAAAGACCTAATGAGGAATTTGAGTCAATCTTGACTCAAATTGAGACAATTCTACATAGCTAGTGCCAGGTCAGCCAGGCTACACCAACTGGACCAGAGTAGTGCACAACTTTACTCCCAGCACTCTGGAGACCAACGCTGTAGGATCTTGAGTTCAAAGTCCGCCTGCACTAAACTTCTCAAAAAGAAAAGGCAACCAGGGCTGGAAAGATGGCTCAGAGGTTAACAGCACTGACTGCTCTTGCAAAGGTCCTGAGTTCAATTCCCAGCAACCACATGGTGGCTTACAACCATCTGTAATGGGACCTGATGCCCTCTTCTGGTATGTCTGAAGAGAGTGTGCTCACATACATAAAAAATAAATAATAAATCTTTAAAAAAAAAAAAAAAAAAAAAGAAAAGGCAACCAAAAACTTCACCAGATAGAGACAGGTATCTAACTGCACTAGGGAACTGTGAATGCAGGGTTGTGGTGGCTCATGCCCACAATACTAGGCTGAGGCAGGAGGATAGCCATGAGTTCATGAGCAGCCTAGGCTACAATGAGACCTTGTTTCAAAACATAAAACATAACAGACCCAAATCCCCCAAAGCATAGAGGGCAGAGCCAGACTCCATGTGGCCCACCATGTCTCACAGACTGTAGAAGCCAGAGCAGGAGCAGCCAGCCACAACAGCATGGCGGGTGACTGGGATGCTTAATCCCCCAAGCCCCGGGGCTAACAGTATGAATTCCTGCTTCCTCTCCTCTCCCAGCACCCACTTCTACTGTCAGTCGTACTCCCTTCCCCTCTTCACAGTTTTCTTTGAGACAAGGCTCCACACTCTGTATCCCAAGCTAACCTCAAATTCAACACAATCCTCCTGCTTCAGCCTCTCAAGTGTGGGGTCATAGGTGTGAACTTCGGCTATGTCCAGATTTTTTTATTTTTCTTATCTATAGACTACCCAACCTACTAACAACATCCTGGCCCTCTTTAGAGTCTTCCTGTTCTCTAAATATGGTACTCTTCTCCACCCAGCTGGGCAGAGCATCTGCTCGTTTTGAACACATTAGGAGCCATTTTTAGCAGAGTGGAATCACACAGACATCTCACCTTGCCGGGAAATCACTCAAGTGGGCAGTGGCAACTCAAACTGGAGTCTGAGGCCAAGCTCTTTGGCCTGCCACAACCTCTTCACCTGTCCTTAAGTCCCTCTTAAGGTCACTCCCGGTGACAGGCTGGGAGTGTCTACCAGTGAGCTGACCTTCCCGGCAACCTCCCAGCCTCTCGGTGTTAAGTGCTGTCCCTTCCAGGCATTCTGTTAAAAACTCTTTCCTTGTTGTAAAACTGTCTTTACAAACATCCCCTCTTTTATCCTGATTTTTTTCGCAGTCTCTTAATTTATTTTATTTTCAAGTTAATCTTCGTAGAAATGCCCTTTCCCTTACAAATATTGCTTCCTCCGCCCACACTAACATAGATACATCCTTTGCTCATAACCATAGTAAGGACAATTGGACTTCCCTCCCACAATACCGGGGATCCCAAGGACCGATAGCGGGATGCTGAACTGCAAACCCAAGCCAACCCCAGGTCCTCAAGGTCTAATGCTTTCCCAAGCCGCCTTCCAGCTGGCTCCAAGATCCACTCATCATCCCCGCGGCCAAGTCCCTACCCTCCTTGCTCTCGTAACAGCTGCCTCAAACACACCCGAGAGGCAAACAGCTTCTTAGGTGACTTTCACATGATAGAAGGTGTCCGGGAGGAGCCTCATCAGGTATGACATGCCTAGAACGATAATACTAGCTAGTATCGAATGTTGGAGCTAATATGAAAAGGCCGGATAGCTCCGTGACTTAGGAGAAACCGGAGCATGGTAAGCCTGCCTTCGTGAAGACCCCAAACAAGCTAATAAAAACAACCAATTCTTACCTTCGTTGTCCCCATGGTCCCAATCTAGTTCTCAAGTCTTAAGGTAGATCTAGAGGTATCCAGCCAATGTCCTCTGCGGTAAGTTTTCTTCGGGTCCGCAGCTCTCAGAAGGTTTGAAGACCATCACAGAACCCGAAGCCCAGCCTACCTATTTATAATCTCTGCAAGGGGTGGAGCCTGCAGCCCCCCCCAGCCCCCTCCCTCCAATCCTTAATCTCTGACCCTAGGAATTCAGTGACCTTTGTTGTTATCTGATCCGCTCCAAGCCCCCAGGCTCCTCGCCTTTGCAGGCAATCACCCACCCTCCCCCAGCCTCCTCCGCTCATTACCACATCCTCCTCGCGGTTCTTTTTTTTTTTTTTTTCCTCCTTCCCCCCCCCACAGCGCTTCCAAATTCCTTCCCTTTTTCAAGAGCCGGCAACCTTTTTGTTTCACAGAAAAAAATGCTAAAAAAAATGTTTGGAGGGCGGGCAAATTTGAAGGCACTCGGTGTGGAAAAAGTCTAAAGACAGGAAAGCTAATCTACGTAAGGCAGAGTTGAGTGGGCTCCGGCTTTCAACTGAGAGTCATCCAAGGAAGCAGAGGATTTATAATGCATTTTCATTATAGACTGGGTGTACCCATCTTGAAGGAGGGAGAAGCGAGGCAGCTCAAGAAAATCTATCCAGGTGTGAAAGGCAGCCTGGATGACTGGAGCCTGACCAACGCGCTCCCGGGCTCCAGGAAGGATTCAGTACACAGCCCCAGTTCCTTACCACAGCCGTGGCCACCCCACCCATTGTGAATTCTGCCACTCTCACCTCTGTTTTGAAGTTAACAGCATCTAGAAACACGATAAATATCAAATTCAACTTACAGATATTTGCTGAGTGCATACTTCTCGTTCGAGGGGAAAAAAAAAAAAACAATTAAGAGGCGGGGTGGAGGTGTAGCGCAGAGTGGTATAGCACTTGTTAAACCCGCAGAACAATCAATCTAGGGCAACGGCAACGTAAGAAACGTTTGCTAAAACAATTAGCTGGGGATTGTGTGTGTCTCAAAAGACAAACTTGAGACAAATACCTGACTACCACACTGTACAAGAAACCTAAAAAAATTGGGTAGGCGAAATGAGAGCTTAAGAAAGGCCAGTCAGTGATGGCCAGCGGGAAGCAGGCCGGATTTCAGGTGAGTTCCAGAGTGAAGCCGCTGAGCATGTGACAGACACGTGAGGCCGAGGCTCTCAGCTCTGACTCCCGGTGGGGGGAAGAGGCGACCCCTCCCCTGAAGGGCGGCTTGGTATAGGCAGGAGGAAGGAAAGACATCTTCACTCCCTAGCTTTCTGGTCAAAGATCTAGCCTGATGGACTGAACTGAAGTAAAGCTGGTCCCTTTCTCTTTAAAGGAGTGTTTCCCCCAAATCGGATGCTTGCTGAGAAAACTGAGGTGGAGTGAACCGTGCTGCGCAAGAAAACCTTCCCTGAGGTTGCACCCCTCCTCCCTTCTCTACCCTCCATTTTTCTTTCCTAGAAGCACCGAGTCGGAAGCCCCGTTTAATTACCACAGCAACTGAATTTAGCAGCCAAAGGAATTACAATGGTACAAATCCTACCATAAGATTGGTCTGTAGGCAAGCCTGTAGGTCATTTTCTTAACTATTGATTTATGGGGGATGGCCCAGCCTATTGTGAGTGGTACATTCCCTAGACTTGTGGTCCTTAGTTCTATAAGAACACAGGCTTTGAAAGCCATGAGAAGTAAGCCAGCAAGCAGCACTCATCCGTGGCCTCTGTAACCCATAGAGAAGCTACCATTTTCTCAAAGCTCTAAAAGCTAATTTACACAAATGAGGCACAGTCCTTATCAAAATATAACTATGCCTAAATATTTAACATAAAATATAAAATTACAATGCCCAAAGGCCAGTGCCAGCCAGTAGAAATAGAATCCAAGCCACTGGTGCAACACCCCATTTTCTTGTAGCCACAGTAGAAGTGATGAAGGTTGTCAAGATGGCTCGGCGGGTAAAAGCCACTTGCTACCAAGTCTGGCGACCTGAGTTCCATCCCCAGGACCCACATGGTGACAGGAGAAAACCAAGACTACAAAGTGGTCCTCTTTTTGGTTTTTTGTTTTGTTTTTGAGACAGGGTTTCTCTCGGTGGCCTTGGCTGTACTAGAGCTTGCGCAGTACATCAAGATCCAAACCCTTCTAGTCTTCCGGGCTCTGCACACATTTGGTGCACAGACATACATGTAGGCAAAACACCCACGATGCATTAAAAAAATAGACTTTTTTCTTTTTTAAAGGCATTCCGGAGGGTGGAAGCGGGTTAGTGATCTGGGAAAGACAGATGCTCCAAAGCCGAAGATTAGTTCTGGAAGAGGCAACCTGCCAGGCGGTAACAAAGTTATGTTTGTAGTAATGTGTATGTATTTTAAAGATTACATCTGGAACTTAGCTGAATCCCAAGAAACTAAAATGTGCTAAACAAATTGAGACAAATGCTCTTTGAAGCAGTAGCTCACCCGATGCTTAAGCCAACAATGCCTCATGCTACTGTGTAGACCAGGCTGGCCTTGAACTCAGAAATCCGCCGGCCTCTGCCTCTGCCTCCCAAGACGGTGGTCATCATCTTGAGCAACACAGATCAGCTGCTGAGTAGCTGTGACAGTTTCCCTGGGGTCCCTGGTGCGTTGTGGGAGTGGATGCCACTTGACTGAAAAGCCCAAGTTCCAGTGAGGGTGACCAGCCCTGAGAGACAATGCATTTTCAATGGTGGCTTCATGGCTGAGATGCATTAACAACACCTACCTACTGCGTGTGTGTCCTTAGTTTGCTTTCAAGCTCTTCTGTCTTTGCTGGGTATCGAAGAGGGGGAAGCATGAAGGGGACTTTAATGAATGTACCCAGTTGGGAGCTAAGAAATTAGGTGTGTGCTTAGGAGAGAGGGAACAACTGGAACAATAGCCTGGGGTACCAGTTCCCAATGCACACTCCTGCACAGTGGGAGCCTAAATCTGGCCCCCTGCTGCTAGCCTGGGTTGAGGTTTGCTAGTGTGACTGCTAAGCAGAAGGACAAAGAATCCTACAAAAGAGCATGCAAGACTTTACACTCGGCCCAGCGGCCACTGGCCTGGGAAAAACGCAAGCAGAGACCATTGTAACAACTGCCCAGATTCTGTGCTCTACATTTGCACCAGTTCTCACAAACAGCAGCCTGCATGCTTTCATGGGTCTGATTTTAGTCTTTCCCTAACAGGTGAGGTGTCCCCATAATTCACTTTAAATCTAAAAACAGTTAAAAATAGAAAGGAAGAAGGAAAAAAAGAAAGGAAGGAGGAAAGGAAAAAAAGAAAAGAAGAGAAAAGAAAAGAAAAGAAGAGAAGAGAAGAGAAAAGAAAAGAAAAGAAGCGAAGCCCCGGGGTGAAGAAAGGAAAAATCTGAGAAATGCCTCTTCTTCTGTTTACACTGCCTTTAAACCATTCATCACTGCCGCCAGCCGGTCCTGAAAACCGGATCCTACCTCCCAGTTTCTCATCAGCGTGGCAGATTTCACCTGTCCCAAAGTCTCCAGGAACAAATTCCAAAGTAGTGTTGACCCTAAGTTAAAATTCAAAGCACAGCAATCTACTCAAGATCTTCAGTGGTGCCTCCTTAAGCCCTGGGTTCAAAGCACCTTTGACTACAGACACGTGGGCCACAGTTTAAAACATTCCAGCAGCGTTAACAAAAAACCTAAAGCACACACACTAATTTTATTATATAATTATTTACCCCATCTCATGTGTCACAAATTCTGCTTCACTTCCCTCTCTTTTTGTCTTTGCATTGCTGGGGATTCAAGCTGGGGCTGAGCCATACCAGTCTCTGGCCACAAAGTTCTCATATTAATATTTCACCAACGTAAAAATTATTAATAATCTATCTTGTTATTTTTGTACCAGGCCTTCAGAATCCAATGTACATCTTACACTTACAGTGCACCTCAAATGGAACACTCAGATTTCAGGTATCAAGATTAAATATTCTTTCTGTTCATTTCCCCCCACCCCCGACGCACCCACCCCCACACTGGGTACTTGACATAGGTCCTTTTGAATACATGCTAGGCATGCTACCACTGAGCTGTATTCCCAGCCTGAAATGCTCTTTTAAAATGAAACTGTAGTTTTTAACCCAATGACCTGAATTCAATCACACACAAACACACCACTCACATGAGTGGGCCACCCCATAGGGAAATAATTCAGTGTGAGTGTAATGCTAGGTGAAACCTATAGAGAACACCAAACTCAATCAAGGATGCCCTGGAATCCTGCACATTTAGCTACTATATGCCATGGGTGGATAAGTGTATTCTCCAAAGGTTTCTGTGCTAGAAGCCAGGTCCAGTGTAGCCATGCTAAAGGGAAGGAAAACCTTTAAGTAGTAAGGCCTGGGCCAGCACTTTATTTGTGTGTGTGTGAATGTGTGTGTGCCTTAGCACACTCATCATTCATGGGTCAGAGGACAACTTTTGGGAGCCTATTCTCTTCTCTTTCTACCACGTGACCCCAGCAATTGAGCTTTGTTGTCAGGCTTGGAAGCCAGTGTCTTTATTCTCTGGTCCATTTCCCAAGCCCCTAAACCTCTTTCTAGGCTCTTTGCAGTAAGGCAGACTTATGTTTTCAGTCCTGGCTCTGGGTGAATCAAGGATCAAGAATTCCAGGCTACTCAAGGATTTTATTATAGTAACAGAAAATGGACGGCTCCTGTTAAACAGTGTTCTCAGAATCTCTGTGTCACGTTTTCAACCTTAAATTCACATCCTGGTCTGCAGGATGACTCTGTGGACAAAAGTTCTTAATGTGCAAGCTTGATGCCATGACTCCATTCCTAGAACCCCACCACGCCAAACGCCGGCGATGGCTCCGTGATAAGAGTGCTTGCTGTTCTTGCAGAAGACTGCACTTCCATCCCAGCACACACAGGAGGTAACTCACGGCTGCCTGTAACTACAGCTCCAGAGCATCCAATATTTTCTGGGTTTTTGCAGGTACCCATGTGTGTACAGACACGCAGACACAGATAGACACATAAATAATAAATCTAAAAATAAAAAGCCAGGGGCTGGAGAGATGGGTCAGTGATTAAGAGCACTGACTGCTCTTCCAGAGGTCCTGAGTTCGATTCCCAGCAACCACACGGTGGCTTACAACCATCTGTAATGGGATCCGATGCCCTCTTCTGGTGT